GTTGCGATGAATATTATTATTAATTAAGGGATAGGAGATAAAAAATTCAAAAGTACAGATCTTTTACTTTGGATTACTTACATATTAGAAACCTCATCCACTGATAAACTTCCACATATCATTATTATCAATCCAGTATACACCAAGAAGCGAAATATGCTCATTGTCCACATGTTAGTATATCAGATACCTTTAAAAAATTATATGATGTACATATATATCAATTTCTAAAATCATAATTATTTCCTTTAAATCTGAAAAATATAAAGTTTTTTTTTTAAAGTTTAGTATTTTTGCAACAGACATTTTATAACAAATGTGTAAAGCCGTATTAATAAGTGTATAAGTTACCTGGGAATAGGTTGTTTCTAATTTTCCTACTTTTATTATTCCTAGGGAAGTTTTATACGGTATTATATGTAGATGATTTACATTATCCGATTTTGAAGGAAAGTCAAAATAAATTTCTTCATCGTGTCCTCCCACCTCGTGTCAGATTGATTAACTATTATCTTTCTATAATTATTTTACCATAATGTTTCTTTACAATGAGAGTCTGTGTGGCCATATTCCATTATTTCATAATTAATGGCAACATGCCTTATCAAAAGGTATTTACTTCTGGTATATATTTTGAATGCTACATTATCAATTTTAAGATGAAGCTTCATTGCTTATTTTTTTTCTGTTAATAGTACCAGGTATTTGTGAAATATTTTAGGTTTTAAATGAAGTGTAATTTAATTGTGGACTCGGGATCACGAAATATCTTAAGTTGCATTCAAAAAACCTATGTAGAGATGGAATAAGTTTTAAATGCGGTAGCCCAAGATGAAAAAAATTCAATGAACATGTGATCAGTCTTATATATCATAACAATAAAATGAATTCAATTTATAGATTCATCGACGAAAAACTGAACATCAATTTAGGCAAGAAAACGTAATTTGGTAAGTTTAAATGAAACGTATATTTATCGGCACATAATCTCAATCTGTTGCATTGGCCCTGCCAGACAGCAATGACAAGAGGTGTGGTGATGCCTTGCTCAACACAATGACATGAAAAAAGCATTATAATATCCCTCATATTAAAAGATGTATTTTTTTCTTCAAACTTTTGTCACTTTTTTATTTTAATTGCTATTAATCAGCGTGGGACTCACCAAAGTTTTCCAATAAAAATCACAAGTATAATAGAGATTAAATAATGGCAAAGGAACGTCGTATTTTAATTATTAGTATAAATATAAGATTTTCGCTTCGGTTCTTAACTTTAGGAAGGTCTTGAACGTTCATGAAGGTATGTTACCAACTTGTAATAATTACTAGAAAGTAAAAATAATATTATAAGTACAAGTATACTTATAGTATTATAAGTATAAGATGTTTGTAGCAATTAAAGTAAATCATTTACAAAAAGATGCAATTGTCGCAAAGATCGGTATTGAAAATTACTGTAAAAACATATTTTCGTAGGGTCAAATTTTCATGGTTTGAGGACAAACTCGCGAGTTTGTGAGGATTTAATTTCGTAAATAAGAAATTATCAAGTTTAGTTATGTATGTTACATTTTACATTTCGTGCTTGGCATGAAATTACGTGGATCTCTTCATACCTCGAAAACAACGAAAGTTACCCCCCACGAAGATTTGTGATTTCACAGAAAAGGCATGTTCTGACCAAATTTTATTTTCTAGTTGAAACGACAAGTTTGAATAAGACATCTTTGTCCTGTTTCAGATTATAAACTACGCGTCGAAGAAGACTGCATACTTAATATTCTAGAAGATGTTACGAGCGGCTATTATTTTATTGACTGTCCACATTGTCTTCTCTCAGTAAGTAAAGAATATGGTATAAATTTCAATTTAAATGACAGAAAAGATGTGCCTCACCTGAAGGAAATAAAAGTAATTAACTCTCACTAAATTATGTTCATAAAGTCTGTTTCAGAAAAAAGTCCTGATTTGTATAGTGACAATGCCAGACTAAAATTCATTAGCTACAGAATTATAGCTCACTGCTTGAAAAAATTCGGACAGACAGAACAGAGAGCTAAAAATCCAAGCATTGTAAAGCCTTCGATTTACACCACTTCGGGTATTATTTCTTGTATTCTATGCTTTTCCGCGCTCGAGAAATGTTATCCGATACCTAACTGTATTTTTAAAAACACGATCAACATGGATACCGGAATGGTCATATTTTTTAAAACTGACAATTCAAAGGCATAAAGGGCTGTTTTGGGCCGATTAAAGGTACATAAATTATCAAGAATAGTTGTGAGATACATGCTTTATTATTGGACATTATTCTTAAAGTGGGGAAAAGCTAAAAATAAATATCCCCGTGGGCTTGAAATACAGAGTCTGACACAGCTGTTTCATATTTTAATTTTTTACTAGAAAAATACAACTTACAATAGTTATCTTACTACGAAGCTTGATGACAAACGCGATAGCTTAACTTTATAATCCTCAACCCCCTTACTCAGCAATATACCTTCATCACTTGCATACGGATTTTAAATTTCTCGGTTGATTCGATACATAATTAAGAGCATGCTCTACCTACATGTATAAACAATTTTTTAAACGAGGTAAGATATATTCTGGCAACAACTTGATGAAGAGAATATCAGCAGTCTAGTTTAAAATCATCATTTCGTAAGTTCTATGGTCGATGCTATAACTTTGTCTGCAAATACAATTTATCATTAAGTCAAATGCTGACTGACGTTTTCATACTTATTTAGAATAGGCCACTATTTACCCACTGAATTGTTGACAGTTCTTTTATATCCCTGAACATGACAAGTAGCACAAGGCCGGTGTGACCGGTCGATCAGCAGGTGATGCTCACTCCTCCATGACACCTGATCCAAACTCGGATGTTTCAGAGGTCCGTATTTTCTCTGCTCCAAATATTGTTTTATGGACTTTTGGGCTTGAATGCTGTTCGCTATCTCCATTTTTTTAAATAGTCTAGAAAAAGCCCCTATATAATCCGTATACAAATTAACGTTACGCAAACAGTTCATAACACCACATATTCACTTGCAACTGGCTGGATACTATATGTTTGAAGAGAATATTGTTTCGCAAATCTACCAAAATATTTAATGATTATTTTTTTGAAATTTACAATTCCTTTCAAACAGCGAAAGCAAACACAGAAGTTATAGATAGTTGACCTTATTTTTCTACGACAGAAGTTTCTTTAATCAATGAAAATGGAATCGTCAGGTAGCCTTCAATTTCTTATTTATTTGAGTCCTGACTATATAATAAAACAATTATCGACTTTTGAGATAGTGAATATGGTTTGTTTGTCATCAAGAAAATGTTCAAATTGACCCCAGCTTCCCTTCAGTCAATACTAATAAATTTCTGATTAATAAATACTGATAAATTTCTGATCAATAACAAACCATATTCACCATTGCAAGAGACCATAATTGTATAGTTTTTCATGACAAATGTAAAATAAAGAAAGGGAGTAATATCTATTAATGAAGAAGATAAAAAATAATTGGATACCGTATTTGATATCAACGTGTGTGTTTGAAAATAAAATTATATAAAGCTTGATGCTTTTTTGGATTGTGTTAGACGTTAAGCATGAAAAAGTCTAAAACATTTATGCATAAACATGTATTTTAAGCTATACTTTTACTATAATCATATAACCACACATTTTATTTTGTTTTTCTCAACAGGAATGACAAATGTTTGCCCAAGAAGTCTCTTCAAAGAAAGCTGTGTTCAGTCAAAATGTCACATTTTCATGGTAAAACAAAGTTATATCAGTTTTTTTTATTTTATGATGTTATTATAATGTATTTTAACGGAGTATCTACGTTGTATGATGTCACAAGTCCGAATAACCCGCTGTTTTCTCATCTGAAATAACATACATTCAATTGATAATTTAAACAGGATTCAACTCCATGTATATCGGATTGTTGTAAACCAACTTTTATTCGAGAAGACTTTATTTCGCGATTTACCGGGGGCAAACTAGTTTGCGATGATTAATTTTCGCGATCAAGTCTTTTTATATCAGTTGTTGATAGACAAATGAGACGAAGGATGGGTCGAGAAACATTTGTTAAAAAACACTACATGTATTACCTGCTCAATAATGAAGTCACGCCCTCCAGCGTAAATTATGTATTGAAATTAAAATAACCAATTTTTAATAACTATCTGAATAATACATACGAAAGTACTCCAATAATTCATTCTTATATTAATTTGTGCAAAAAGTTCGATAGCAGTCTTAATTAGTAAGTTAAGGCACATTTTGTAATCCATTTTTCCTTCTCATCATTACATTTTCTCCATCTTACAGATTAGAAGCCCCTTGACAAAGGCTTATGAAAAATATTTTTCTAAATGTTGTTTACATTTACTGCAAATCTTTGAAAATTTGAGAAGGTCAAGATATATAAAATATCGTTTCCAAGAGAAAGGTTTTGACAATAAAAAACACATCAGCAAAGTGTGGAAGTATGTGAAATTCAAGCTCCGGCCAAAGTTATGGACAAAGTTACAAAACTACTAACCTGTAGACATAAAAATTCGCTATATTTTTTTTAATTACAGGTGCTTCAAATTTCCTTTTGTTTTTGAAGATGTGCTGAACATTCCTTTATTTCTCCTATTTCAATTACAGTCTTAAGAGTTAAGGTTCTTAGGGACCTTTCGTCAACCCCAGAGGAAAACCATAGGTATAAAGTTAGAGTCCTTCAAAGAATGAACAAAGTGAGTGTCAACTGGAATAAATACACGAACAGTTGCATTTATTTTTAACGTTAATGCATTGTATGTCTATTTAATATTATGTTTTACTCGTTTTATAGATGATTGAGAAAGAAAGAAACTCAAAGAAATTAAATATGAGACCAATTATTCGTGCATTCTTTAAAAACCTTGCACCGAAGAAATTAAATATGAGACCACATTCTTTAAAAACCCTTAAATATGAGACGTGCATTCTTTAAAAACCCTGCACCGAAGATGATATTTCGAAATGTAGAAATTCCGAGAGAATGCATGCTTACTTTAAATAAGAAATATATCCTGATAGGTACGTATACATTGCATCTACACCATGACGATGTCTTCTTTTAATTAAATGACTTATAAACACATCATAAAGACATATGCGTCGTTAGAAATTAGACGAGGGTGAAATATTTGGAGACAATGAACAGTTTTCTAGCTCAGAAGTCCATAAATCATAATACCATAGTACAAAATAGGAGCAGTGCAAACAGCAGGTGCCATTGTGGAGTGAGCATGCCCTGCCGACCGGTCACACCCGCCCGTGTGCTCCTTGTCATAATCGGGAAATATGTCGGCAATTCAGTGTATAAATAATAGTCTAATATATATAACTATTAAGGAAAGCTTCAGTCAGCATTTGACTCAATAACAAATTGTATTTGCTGACAGGATCATCTATTTCAAATTGTTCAATTTATTACTTTTCATTTCCCTAAAAGCTCTCTTTCTTGGCAATCAAATTTGCGCTTCTTTTGGAATAAATTTCAAATTTCGGAAATGATAAAAGAAACCAGGAAAGAAAATATGTCATTATTATTTTCTTAAGCAAATAAGAGAAAACAACTTTGATAAAAGTTTCCAACTCCAATAAATCAAATGAGGATTATATGCAAAATAAACAGAAAGATCTTTAGAATTTTAGTCAGTCTGAACTTCCCAAGAATACGTCATATTTGACTTTAATACAGAACTTATAATAATATAAATACCGGTATAATCTTCATTTTGTGCAGCCAAGTATGATCGGAATTCAGAAAACATCCACGTGGATTGTAACGATATACTGGATTGGGAATCACTTTCAGGATTTCAAAAGGGTCGATTACGTCGTGGAGGCTACAGTTGTGGTATAGAGGTATATAAATTTAAAATGTTCTCTAAACTGCTCAGATATTGATAGGACTGCTCAGATATTGATAGGAATTGCAATGATTAAATTTAAGATTGTGCCCATGAGAAAAGGGTGCTTATGGCATTTTCACTAAAAGAGAGAAATAACGCCATAAAGTTGTGACGTAAAATGTTGCAGATTGACGGAAAACGTCAACTTATATTTTTTTACCACGTGTTTACGTTTTTGGATTTCGCTTTTGTCTTAGGTCTGAAAATTGATAAAAAAAACAATTGGATTTCATTCGAAACGCTTAACTGTTTATCATAAGCAAAATGCCTGGAATTATATTACTTCATTTTAATTACGCTTAGGTGCCATTTCACTTTTTGATAGTGCTCAGTAATATTCTTGGTACGGGCATGTTGTGCCCAATAATTGATCACTGATTGTTTATGAAAAAGACATTGTTTATAATTTTTATTTGAAAAGAAATATTTATGAAGGTCGTAAAAATAATTTAAAGAATATTTTTCCATTATTACAATATAACTTGGTTGTGTATTTAGTTGTGTTCGGGGGGGGGGGGGTGTTACTGAAATAAAGCTTTTAAAAAACTGCTGTTAAGCTCATATTAATAGCCATTCTCTGTAACCACTTAAACTTCGTTGCCACGCATGGTCACCGATTTTGATGAAATTTCACCCATGCTTGGTACTTGACACCAGAAACAAATATCAAACAAAATTTCGTTGCTATACGTCTTGGTTGCTATGGCAACAGCCGGAAAAGTTTGAAAAATCAAGATTTTCAGCCACTTTAAATCTTGACTGTGGCTTAATAAAAACTAGAAAAAGCAAACAAACCCTTCTCATAAAAACATGACACCTTGATGTCACCTATACTGTAAAGAAACTGTTTAGAATATATCTCTAAGTAAATGGTAACCAAGGGTACATTTGGAATACATTAAAAAATGCTGAAATATGCTGAAAAACACTCCGTATTCACTAATGGTAGGTGTTACATGCTCAAACTCAATCAACGACTTAAGAAAAACAATGAAAATGTTTGACCTTAAGTATACAAGTAAAAGCAATATTATTCTATAAATAAATTTATGGTTGCCATGGTAACACAGTGTAACCATGCAAAACCAGTAACTAAGATTGGGTTAATGCTTCTGTCCTGAGGAAAAACATGAAAATTCAAGACTGGCAAATATGCATCCATAGGACCTTGCAACACCAAAACCATAAGAAAAATTGGGTATAAGTGATACTTTGCAGTGTTACCATGGAAACAAAGTACCAGTGCTTAAAAGTGAATTATTTTTCGCTGCATTAAGAATTAAATTGCCATTTAATCAAGAAACAAATTAAAGGAATCAGCTTGAATAGTACTTATGTGTTAGAACTGAAGTTGAATATCATATATTGATAAAATTTGATGAATAAAACAACACTGTTGCTGTATGGTTACCAAGAAGGGAAAATGTTCGATTTTGTGAACTTTATATCAATATTAAACCCTGTGTGCCAACTTCTTGCATCCACTTAGAGATTGGATGATAGTAAAAATTTAAAGTCAAGTTAGCTGTTAATAAATATCAATCATAAAAGTTTTGGGAATCTACATTGAAGGGTATTCCAAGGAAAGAAAATATTTTTCAGGTTTTTAAGCATATATTTTCTGCTTATTTCCATAGCAACGCTCTATTTTAAGAATCTAATCTGAATTTTTTCAAATGGGAAAACTTGGAGCACACCAACATCTTATAAAATTGATCATTAGTTATGAGGAAATATGCTTTTTTCAAAAAATAGGATCAGATTTAAACATACAGAGTGTTACTTTGAAGGCTCTCTGTGGTATAAAAACCTTGGCAACCATTGCCAACCAAAATGAAATATCATATTTTGTTCTTGGTATATGTTTCATCTTTTTTCTATGATTTGGTTACATTTCATCCTATAATTGCATTTTATTTTTACGTGTATGACTTTATAAAATTCAATGAATATTATTTTTACTCTTGAATACTTTGTTACCATAGTAACGTATGTAATAGTTGATTTACCAAACATGTTTATCATGCATTTGAGACATCTGACCTTCAACTTGTGGAAACAATTATTGCCAATCGTTTGCTTTGCCGCAAATGTTAACTATGGGGCTCTAAACATGTTAAAAAATGCCATTTTTGGAACTTTAAGACATGTTGCCATGGTAACTATAAAGCATAGCAACCAATTTTTGCCTGATTTCCGTTTAGGGTATCAATGACTTTTAATAAGAGTTTGGAGAAATTCTGAGACTATGCGTGCCACAGCTCCTATATAAAATTCCAAATCATTACAGAGAATGGCTCTTAACTACATGCACATGTATAAATTTGTCATTTACCTATTTAACACCTACCGCAACCCACCCCACATCATCCCGAAATAATCACCATCGGAATATTGGGACTGACCCGACATTATTTCATGCTTGTGAGTTATGACTTATTTAATTAGCATGCATGTTTTATGAGTAAATGATAAAAAATCGTTTAATGTTGAGATTGAAAAAAAGGCTTATTGTTTCAATTTAGAATAAAGATTTTATTACCATATGCAAGACAGGGGTCTTTTCATATGTTTTTACAAATATTCTATGGAGTATTGTTTAATGTAATGTATCAACCGTGTATCATTAATAATTTATTTTACATTACTGGGTAGATTCTAGTTTATTGTCGTTACCGGAGACATTTTTTTTATTTTACATTTGGGAAGATGTACTAGATTTTCTTGCCTTATCTAAAATGAAATGACTTTCTAAGTAATTCTGTAAATTTACAAAACAATTCTTGCCTGGGAGTGCACCTTTTGGGGTGTGAATTTTCTTTCGTCCCAACATGAACGAAGTGTAAAATAAATACATGTAACTCGTATACCATGCATTGACCGATAATACTTATAACAACTATCTTAAAAATAATCTTTATATTCATAATAATATTAGTAACGTTTCAATAAAATTATAGTCAATGTTTGACATTGATGCAAACGTAACATGACATCATGATTTAACTGTTTAAAAAATGAATTATCACTAATATAAGCGATAAAAACATACTTAGAGTTGGAATAGAACCATAAAAATCATATTTGCAACTCTTAACCTTGTTCTAACAAAATTCATGAAAAACTCAAAATTGTAAAATTGCTATAAGCACCCTTTTCCCATGGGCGCAATCAATTTTTCATGATATTTCTACATTTTTTGCGATTACAAGAAAGAGTACCTGGACAAGGAGGTCTTGTGTCTTCTTGTAATGCTATGCTGAATTATAGGTCTCTTGCTGCATGTCTACATGTACGTCATATACATCCCCTGTTACACACCTTGAATTAAATGTAAGTTATGTACATAAAATGGAGATAACACACAGCATTAAAGCTTAAAAAGGCATTAAAACAATACAAATCAAGAGCAATGCAAACCACCCACCTCTTAAACATTATGGGTTGCAGCAAGTGCCATGGTTGGATTGGGGAGGGGGGCCTGTCGAATGGTTATATATTTATGCTTGGAATACATGGGTATATCATATCATTAATGTATATTTAAAACAAAATATCGACGATCGAATATGGAACCCAACTTATGTTCTGGAAACAATATTAAAGAAATGATTCTTTTCTCTTGACTTGATAATAATAAAAAAAAACTTTTTTAAATTAGATATGCATCAATGATTGTGTGGATAACGAGGGATGTGCTTCTACCCATGTGCCGCTTGCTTGTAGAATGGAAAAGGAAGAAGAAAATTGCTATGACAAATATGCAGAGTGCAAACCTAATGTTGAAACATCGAGCGGGGATTGGGAAATGCAAGACAAAGTTTTCAGTTCATGCCAACAACTGGAAAATCCCATTCCGGTTTTTGTAGATCCTTCAGGTTCCGGAAATGGAACCGAGCCTACAGCGGTTCCGTGATGTTCATTATATTATAATAATTCCTTGGAAACATTACTTTCTTCAAACCGTTATAACACATTATATCATGTATTACGACCTCCCCTTTCATTGCTATATAATAACTGACAGTTGAGATTGTTCAATGAACTGGAAATTCTGTTGTGTTTTTCATTGTGATTCTTTGCAACAATAAAGAGAAAAATACGAGGGTTGTCCGTAAAGTTCGTGTCCATTACTGACAAACATAGATGAAATATATCAAATGTTTATTTTCATTAAATTAATGTTTCCTTTTATACATATGCAAATTTTAAACAAAAACAAAGCACAAATACCCCAGATAGTTATCTAAATATCCAACTGAGGTGCATAAAGCATAAAACAATGAACAAAAGAGATAAAACAGTTTTAATATGTATTTCCAATGCACATGAAAAATAGAAATTACTCCAAATTTGCCAAGCTTCCCGGCTCCCTTTACTATATTTTCTCGACTATTTACATTATTTATGGGTCTCTGTTAGTGTTTTTCCGATGTCTACGCAGAATTTTATCACACCTCTCTGCTCCACCTTTCCCGAAAACGTACCTTTTTCGAATGATATGCCGATCCTGTCTTAACAGATTCTAACCTCGATTTCTCAGACATTATTTAACTCTGAAAATTCAAATTTTGCAGGTTTGAAATCATAACTTTTACACAACCTCATAATGTAAATGCAATCCGACTTTCCGCAGAATTTTAGTGATTAATAATGAAGTCATAAATGTAATTATATAACTGAAATTGAATAAATGAAATTTTACATTTTGTACGTCACATTAAGTAAAGAATCATCAATATGTTAATAATAAATATCAATAAAACCATTTTTATTTAAATTTTAGTTTGTCCGAGCACTTTACGGACAGCCCTTGAAAAGTACATACAATTAAATGTAACTGTACTTTTAAAATTCGCAGAGTTGACATAATTTTTGCATTCATTTTGGAGGACAAATCCTTCAACAGTGCAAATGGTTAACGAATTTCCTCCGCACTTTATCTTTTATGGTTCTTTAGAAGAAGATGAAAATGTGAAAAGTTTACGACAGCGACGACGACGACAACAACGACAGCGACGACAGACAAATTATGATCAGAAAAGCTCACTTGATCCTTCGATCGGCTAAGTACATCTTTAATTTGTCCGCATGAACTAAAAGGAGAATATATTATAATTATTCCTTCGATGTAAATCATGATTAAGTTTACAATTATGCCTTAATTTCGTGTGAATTACATTTTATAAAATAGCGTATCCCATATAAAAAATTCGAAGAAGTCTACATGGTCTAAGAAAGAAGCAAGAATATTTTTTTTATTTACTTATAGAAGTTGTACGTCTTACACATGTATGTTAGAATATTCCAGATAATGTATTTTTTAAGTTTCAGGTCTACATGTGGGGATGGTGTAGTTTTCCATGTTTCAAATATGCATCAATTCCATGGAATTTTGGAAATATTTATTTAAGGTAGGATTCTTCTCTAGTTTCTGACTAGATCAAATATTCAAAGTATATTTGCTTCTTTGTCTTATATATTTAGGTGTAAGAGATTTAAAAGACCATAATTTTCTTTCCTCGTCACAATTGTACAACTTTGAATAGAAATGGTAAACTGCGTTTGAAAATTAACAGGGACTATATTTTTGGCGGAATGGTGGCGTATGAAAATATCTTCTTTTTTGCCTCTCAAATTTATTGTAGAACATTGAATTTAGTTATAATTTTTACGCAATCAAAGACTAGATGAAAATTTCAAATGTAAGTTAAATTAATAATAAGGGACTACAGTTTCAAAATATATCAAATAAATAAGATTTTTCACACATACTAGAACTAAGTTGGCTTTTAAATGCTTCAAATCTAAGTACAGATTTGAGCCAAAAATCCTTAAAAAGTGTTATTTCTCTCTTAGCAAACGATCAAAACTTTTAGTTTTTGTATCATTTTGTACCTTTATGTGATAACTTTACTATATGTGAAAATAAGAAAAAGTTAAATATAGGAAGCATATAAAAATAACTAAATAAATATATATATCCTAAAAAATTAAGAAAAGTAGAGGAAATTCGGATTAGCAAATATCCATTTTATTTGAATTATCTATGTCAATTTGGTAATTATCATCTTATAGGCCCTATATGGTAGTATCTTTTTATGCTAAAAAGAAAAAAACGTTCAATCTTTTGAATTAAAGGTAGGGATCGCTTGATTGGAAACATTAATTTTTTTACTCTTAATGTCCAGAAAAAAGGTAGCGACCTTGACCTGACCTTGCTTCTAATATTAAACGGTCAACTTTAATCTCACTGATACCATCAATTAGTGGTATTGTCTTCTTGATTCTGTGAAAATTTCATTAATTTTTAAATACAAGAAATGTGAGAAGAATCCTACCTTAAGATCATCGGGAACATCATGATATTTACTTCCCCTTTGGTACCTTTTTCCATCCTCTGGTGCTTTTAGAGGCCCGATTTGCTCTGCTCCAAAGTTTCAATGGTGTTTTTTGAGTTTGGTTTCTGTTTATCATCATATTTTGAATAAAAGTCTAAAAATTTGTAAGATAGGAAATACTTGACAAAAATGGCCCTTTCATGAATTAGTTAATAGCTTTATCGACTTCCTGCTCGGTCGATATGCATTTTTGTGAAGTCGATACAATTATCTATAGATTGACCGAATGAAAGGGCTATATTTTTTATATTTTTCTTTAAGAAGAAATTCACATTATATTTAACAGAAATCAATTTACTTCATTTTAGAATAAACATGTTTTGTACCCGCGGAGCACACTTTACGGCAATGTAACGTTAAAACATAACGTCAAGAATTTAAAAAAAAAAACTATCGCTATACATTTCACACAAAATAACCCAATGCCAACTCATAAAATCCTTTTTCTAATAGTTGACATTCATTTTTTTAAGAATTCCTCTCTTTGTGTAATTTCCTTTGTTAAGGTTTTAATTTCTTTTATTACTTATCTCTGCTTTCACAGGATAAGCAGCTCTGAAGCGCCCATGTCTTTGCTTGACGTTCCAACTTTTTTCAAGATTATGTTCAGATTTTTACAGTTAAACCGTTTCTTCAAAGATTGTCGTCGCCCGCATGGCTAGAGCGTCTGCTCTAGAGTCGCGAAGTAAGGAGTCAATCCTTACGTCGCGGGTTCAAATGCCATTGTGGGACGTGGAGACCGGTCCTTCGGATGAGACCGTATAAACCGAGGCCCCGTGTCGCAGTAGGTGCTGGCACGAAAAAGATCCCTCACTGCTCAAAGGTCCTGAGTGCTGAGCATGACAATATTTGTATCCCTCCACCGGCAAGTGATGGCGTCTCCATATGAGTGAAAAATTCTCGAGAGGGACGTTAAACAACATACAATCAATCAATTAAAGATTGTCCTCATCCGATACAGAGTCTCTGTCACTCAAATACTGCTTGTACTATTTGGACAGAGATTTACAACTCGCTTGTGACATATTTTCTTGATTCTTAGAGTTTTATTCAGGAATTTTCATGAGTAAAACACAAAATTGCACCGTTATTTGCTGCTCCGTGACGTTCTAAAACGGCATCGTTTTTGTCGTTTTCAATGAGGACTATACCTATCTTCTAAAGCTGATTCATTTTAACAGAGCAAATGTTACAATTCTTAAATTGAATTTCTAAGTTGTTTTTTCATTTGTATACTATTTTACAGAGAATATGACCACAGACGTTTAGTATATTGTTTGTAACTTTCTAAATTTTGACATGCTCCGCGATCCGATTTCTGCATTTTTTAAATCTTAAAATGTTTTGAATAAATCAAAATATTTAGTAAAATTTATACAAATTATTTGGAATTATTGTTAAAATATTTCTACCAAATTTGGATAAAATATGACGTCAAATATTAAAAAAAGAAATGACAGAAGTCCATGAATTTTTCGAACAACCCTCGTATGTTTTAATAACTAATATTTATAACACCCCCCGTGTATTTATGTCGAAATGCATAATTGAATAAGAATGAGTAATCCTTCTGCACTATTACTTTAGGTGACTTTGAGTTAAAGTAGCTGGAAAGAAAAAAAGTCGAACATCGGTAAGGTTTTAATGCAAATCAGATTACGGAGAGGACATGCACTTTAAAATAGTACAGAAAGCTTAATGAGGGTTTTGGATTTTACTTTTATTGATTTGATTTGGCAAATTGTTATACATGCACTTTCTAAGGGATGTTTGTAAATATTGGTGATATTTGGTTTGTTTTTCCTTGAAAAAATGAAGGATGTGATGAAATGATATTTTCTCTTTAAAAACCTTGCTTCCAGAAATAAGCTTTGAGAATTTTTATTCTCACGGGGAGGAGGTGGGGGGTTGCAAAGTGGGAATTATTCTTATTCTTCTTTAAGATAAAATTCTGGTTCATTGAACCCCTTTTACATTTGTGTCCAAGTGTTTCTTGTAGTTATGCACTTAAAATTCAAAATTTGAATTTCAAGAATGAGGGTTAGAAGTGTCTAAAAGCAAATTTTGTTATCTAAAAAAATGTCTTGCTTCCATCTCGTTAACAAAACTTGAAAATGAGTGTATTGAGATGTAAATACTTTAGTGATGTCAACGTTAACGAGTACCCGGTTTACCGACGCAGGTACTCGATCGAACATCCGAGTATCGAATACTCAAATCGGTACTTGGTTACTCGGATGTATATTTTGAATATTTCTAAGCTTATTATGTATGCATTAAACCATCTTTAAAACGTAATTACACAATCTATACAGTAATTATAGAGTCAAAACACCTGATACCTAGCTTTTCTCATTTTCGGCTGTCTTAATACCTTATTTTTGGTTTGCTTTAATGATTTGTTTTCATTAAACATTGTTTATAGTCTGTTATGTTTAAATGAAATATATAACATACACTAGAGAAATTGATCAGACTTAAAACATGCCGCCACCCACTTCAAAAGTCTGGAAATATTTTTTTAAAAACTCAAGATTCAAAATACGTAAAATGT